TGACTCTGCAGACAGTTGCCGACTTCTGTGCACTTCAGCATGCACTAACCCTGCTCTGTCATTTTATGTGGCCTACCACTTTGTGGCTGAGTTGCTGTTGTTCCCAGTTGCTTCTAATTTATTATAACACCACTAACAGTAGACCGAAACTTCACGGATGGACTTATTGCACAGGTGGCAACCTATCACGGTACCACGCTTAAATTCACTGAGCTTCAGAGAGCAACCCATTCATTTGCAAATGTTTGTGAAAGCAGTCTGCATGCCTAGGTACTTGATTTTATACACCTGCAGCCATGGAGGTGATTGGAACACCCAAATCCATTGATTTGGAGGGGCATCCCAATACTTTTGGCAACATAATGTACATTCTTCTCTGATAGACATAATACTTTGGCTAAAAAAAAAAAAAACAACAATTAGATATATAGCTAAGCAGTTTTATTAACCTGTTCATGGTTGTCAGCTCTTAAAGAAACAAGCAAGATATTTAGTCCAAGAAAGGCATCCATTTTTCCTCAGAAAGGGGCTGCTTATCGTACATTGACTTGAACAACAGATACTGGAACCAAAACAACAATTTAGTTATCAAAATACTGCAATAGCAAAAAACAGAAAGCATCTTCAATGCAGCTGTTGTTTTTACAGTCACAACAAGCTCCCAACGATCATATGTCCACAGTATAGTTCTGTATAAAATTTCTTGTCTTTTCATTAAACAATATCTACAAATTGTTAAGCTTTATTTCTCTCTCTTTTGGAAATATAATGTGTGTATATATATATATATACACACACACACACACACACACACACACACACACACACACATATATATATATATATACACACACACAGCATCTCACAGAAGTGAGTACACCTCTCACATTTTTGTAAATATTTTATTATATCTTTCCATGTGACAACACTGAAGAAATGTCACTTTGCTACAATGAAAAGTAGTGAGTGTACAGCTTGTATAACAGTGTACATTTGCTGTCCCCTCAAAATAACTCCACACACAGCCATGAATGTCTAAACCACTGGCAACAAAAGTGAGTACACCCCTAAGTGACAATGTCCAAATTGGGTCCAAAGTGTCAATATTTTGTGTGGCCACCATTATTTTCCAGCACTGCCTTAACCCTCTTGGGCATGCAGTTCACCAGAGCTTCACAGGTTGCCACTGGAGTCCTCTTCCACTCCTCCATGATGACATCATGGAACTGGTGGATGTTAGAGACCTTGCGCTCCTCCACCTTCCGTTTGAGGATGCCTCACAGATGCTCAATAGGGTTTAGGTCTGGAGACATGCTTGGCCAGTCCATCACCTTTACCCTCAGCTTCTTTAGCAAGGCAGTGGTCATCTTGGATGTGTGTTTGGGGTCCTTATGTTGTAATACTGTCCTGCGTCCCAGTCTCCGAAGGGAGGGGATCATGCTCTGCTTCTATATGTCACAGTACATGCTGGCATTCATGGTTCCCTCAATGAACTGTAGTTCCCCAGTGCCGGCAGCACTCATGCAGCCCCAGACCATGACACTCCCACCACCATGCTTGACTGTAGGCAAGACACACTTGTCTTTGTACTCCTCACCTGGTTGCTGCCACACATGCTGAACACCATCTTAACCAAATAAGTTTATCTTGGTCTCATCAGACCACAGGACATGATTCCAGTAATCCATGTCCTTAGTCTGCTTGTCTTCAGCAAACTGTTTGAACTTTCAGTGATCAGTGGGAGAGTGAGAGCGAGAACACAAAATTTAGCACACCTGCTCCCCATTCATACCCGAGACCTTGTAACACTAACGAGTCACATGACACCAGGGAAGGAAAGTGGCTAATTGTGCCCAATTTGGACAATTTTTCACTTAGGGGTGTACTCACTTTTGTTGCCAGCGGTTTAGACATTAATGGCTGTGTTATTTTGAGGGGACAGCAAATTTACACTGTTATACAAGCTGAACACTCACTACTTTACATTGTAGCAAAGTGTCATTTCTTCAGTGTTGTCACATGAAAGGATAGAATAAGATATTTACAAAAATGTGAGGGGTGTACTCACTTCTGTAAGATACGGTATACACACACACACATATACGCATCCACATACAATTCAGATTTTTGTTCTGTATCCTGTATAACATTTTTTTGTGAATGTATGTGTGCCTTTTTGGGAGGAGAGTCTGCACACCACCCCTATATTTGGATAATTATTATTATACAGGATTTATATAGCGCCAACAATTTGCGCAGCACTTTACAAAATCCCTATACATTGCAAATCTTTAAATACAGAAATAAAAACTACCCCTAGAACTAAGGTCAATCAACAAAACAAGTCTGCATTGACCATCGCTATGAAAGTTTTGTTAAGAAAGCCCCTATACAAGATTTTAGCTAAATTTACTGCAGATTCCTAGTCTATTTAGGATTGTGCACACTACACGACCCTTGGCAGGTGCATCACATGAAATGTTTCATAATCAATGACAAGCTGGAGATTTTGCATGAATACACAATGGGGTTTATTTACTAAAGCTGCAGAGTGCAAAACTAGGTGCACATCTGCATAGAAACCAATCAGCTTCCAGGTTTTATTGCCAAAGCTTAATTGAACAAGCTGTGGGAAGAAGCTAATTTGTTTCTATGCAGAAATGGGCCTGATTCTGCACCATCTCTCCATCTTTAGTAAATAAACCCCAATGAGGCCCAGTGCTATGCACAAATATTCAGGACTGGCATTCATATCAGAGTACTCATCATTTACAGCAACCATTTCTAATCACCCCAGCCATTTACAGCTGGCATACCGTAATAAAAGGAAATGTGAAGTATGGAGGCTACTATGCTCATGGAAATGGGAAATTGTATTGAATACTTACCATTATATACCGCATACAAATTATGGTAAGTATTTGATACAATTTTCCATTTTCCTGACACCAACATGGCAGCATACATATGATAAATACACGAGCTAAACAGGGAGGGCTAAACTGTACATTCAAACTTTATTACAATTAACATGGAAGTCTAGACCACCATTCTGTTGTAGCCCATTGACATACATGGCCCTGGAACTCTCCTGTAGCACCTGAGGCAGATGCACTGCGACAATCACTTTGCATGCACTGCCCTGAATGTAGAGATGGACCTGACTTAAAGAGCCTCAACCACTTCTGGAGGCTCTTGCCTTGCCGCACTGTATGTTTTCAGGATGACCTTCACGCTTCAACATGACAAGGTTTGCTGTAGCTTCCTACTCTGAATTTGCCTGATGGAAACACGAACAGCCTCCCTGGGGATTTAAACTAGGAAGCAGCTTGAAGGTAGGCATCTTAGACACCTAGTACATCCAGTTTGTGTAGGTTAGGTACTGTCTGTGCCAGAAAGGATGGAATCACCACTTTGTAAGATGAAAACAGGAGCCACCTGGGAACAAAAGTGCTTAAAGGGCACAGGCCCCAACTTGTCCAGAAGAAAAAAGATGTAGGACTCTGTAGCCTTAAGTGCTTGCATATCCAAAACTCTGCCCCCTGAAGCTATCGCCTGAAGTTATTGAGGGACACTGCTTCGCAAGTGACGTCCTACTGAGGACTGCTTTCTGTTGGTGCAAAGTCCTGGCAAGGAAATCCAGCACCAGAAAAAAATCCCACTGGGTAATGTTATGCCTCCTCAGGGCAAAGTCTCAAGACCAACCTTCTGAAACCCTCCCCTGGCAGCTCGCAGCAGCACTTCTCCTCTGGACCCCCTGGGACCAGTGATCTGCAGATGCCTGGCACCCCTCTCCTTCCCAGGCAAAAGCCAGGCTGGGAGTACTGGAGGTAAGGCCCCCCCCCCAAATGACTGAGCCGGGCTCCCTCCTCCCCCAGCTTGAGAGGAAAAACCGCATCCCTGTCCTCCCCATCTCCCAGTTACAGTGCAGTCTCCTAGCTACCCTGGAAGGGTTTCCAACTTGTTTCTCACCAACAGAGGAAACACCATTACTGAGATCCTAGTGGGGGGCCGCATTTTAATCTGGGTGGAGGTGGTTCCTCAAGTTCAAATCCTATACCCAAGGTTGATCCAGAGGAAGATAAAAAAACACAGCAAAGCATGACCCAATTTGCACCTGCAGGGGAAAAAAATCCTTCCCGATTCCCCGAAAGGCAATCAGATATTCCCTGGATCCCTGTAAATCTCTATGAGGGAGGACTTAGAATCAATGCCCTTTGCGATCGTATAATAATAGTGATGTACTGAAAGAGGACAACCACCTTGTGTGGAAAACGTTACTCTAGTCCAGATGAAGGAAAATTCTAGAGGGCGATGTTTAAACCACCAAAAGCAACCAAGTTTTACCACAGATCCCAAAAATGGGCTTTACCATCTGTGCACCCAATTAGCCACCCTGGCCCCCACCACACTAGCTTTTGGGGAGGGGGTCCTCTGTCAACAAGAATCCTGTAGGGGATGAAAGGAATGAAAAGGACTATGGCTGTGCTTTCTTCAGAAAGGTGCCTTTGCATACTCTTCCATCCACTCTTGAAGTTTCCCATTCTGGCAAAAGGGTCTTGAGTCCTGCAATGCAAAGTGGGCCAAATTAACTGGGAGAAATCACCTGAGCCGCAACCTCCTATGAGGAGAAAGGCCAGACTAACCATGGACAGCTCTTGGAATAGTGCTTAACATAGAGATATACATGTAACTCTTAGTCAAATAAAAAAATGAAAAGTATACGACATTCCAAGGATGTGTGCCATCCTATGAGACTTAAGCACTGTTATATGGCAACCAGGAGCTGACTGTGAGCACCATCCATCTGCATAGCAACTGAGGACATCCAGGATTGAGCAGAGATGAATCTCTTGAAAGAGTCCCATCCAATTTCTGTGTCAGGGCTCCCAGGTGTGACCAGAGGTGTGTGGCTGACGCAGGGAAACGCAGACCTCAGATATGTTATAAGCAATATAATTTATTAACACTAACAATACAAACATAAACGCAGTGCAATACTAAAACATAATACAGTGCAACCAAATCAAACCAAACCAACCACCCACAGATAACAGTACATACAAGCAAGCGTCGTCAGGCAGGCCGGGTCAATATCAATAGGGCAGGTAGGTACAGGGGGAGCAAGCGGAGATTGGTCGGGGTCACAGGCCAGGTTCAGCAGGTAGCAAGCAGCGTAGTACAGAGGGTCAGGCAGAGGGATGGTCAGGGTCACAAGCCAGGGATCAGAACAGGTAGCAAGCAGCGTGGTACAGAGGGTCAGGCAGAGGGATGGTCAGGGTCACAAGCCAGGGATCAGAACAGGTAGCAAGCAGCGTGGTACAGAAACAGGATACAGGGCCCAGGACAAACACAACACCAAGGCAGAGTCTGTGGGTCTGGCCATCCCTTAAATACCCCAGCATAATCAGTTCCAGGTGTTAGCTGGCTGCAAAGTTGAGTCTCTGATTGCTGGGAGCATCCGCTGGCCAGCCCTGGTACTGCAGATCAAAAGGCAGGTGAGTCCCACCATTGCTGGCCAGTCCATTCCTGACATTCTGGTCAGAGGAAAAAACTTGTCATCATATTAGGCACTTACAACCACCCTGCCTGCGGACAGGAATGTTGACCAAGGACAGGGCCTTATAGCCCTCCTTGCTGTCACTGAATGCAATGCCATGGCTGTTGTGCCGCTTCCTCAGCAGGCAGTGGTTGCACAGGTAGCTTCCCATGAATGACTGAGAGGGAGAATATCAGAATGAGTGCTTGTGCTGAGAAAGCCAGAGAGAGGCATGAATCCTGGGGATACAGGGATATGCAGAGCAGGCCTGACCCACCATTATAGTTTTAGGCCTGTGTCAGGCTAGTGTTTTGTATCAGTGATTATTGCCAGCCATTACCAGTATTTTGAAGCTGCCAGTGTACAGTCAGGTCCATAAATATTGGGACATGGACACAATTCTAACATTTCTGGCTCTATACACCACCACAATGGATTTGAAATGAAACAAACAAGATGTGCTTTAACTGCAAACTGTCGGCTTTAATTTGAGGGTATTTACATCCAGATCAGGTGAACGGTGTAGGAATTACAACAGTTTGCATATGTGCCTCCCACTTGTTAAGGGACCAAAAGTAATGGGACAGAATAAGAATCATAAATCAAACTTTCACTTTTTAATACTTGATTGCAAATCCTTTGCAGTCAATTACAGCCTGAAGTCTGGAACGCATAGACATCACCAGACGCTGGGTTTCATCCCTGGTGATGCTCTGCCAGGCCTCTACTGCAACTATCTTCAGTTCCTGCTTGTTCTTGGGGCATTTTCCCTTCAGTTTTGTCTTCAGCAAGTGAAATGCATGCTCAATCAATCAGATTCAGGTCAGGTGACTGACTTGGCCATTGCATAACATTCCACTTCTGTCCCTAAAAAAAAACCCTTTGGTTGCTTTTGCAGTATGCTTTGGGTCATTGTCCATCTGCACTGTGAAGCGGCGTCCAATGAGTTCTGAAGCATTTGGCTGAATATGAGCAGATAATATTGCCCGAAACACTTCAGAATTCATCCCGCTGCTTTTGTCAGCAGTCACATCAGCAATAAATACAAGAGAACCAGTTCCATTGGCAGCCATACATGCCCACGCCATGACACTACCACCAGCATGCTTCACTGATGAGGTGGTATGCTTAGGATCATGAGCAGTTCCTTTCCTTCTCCATACTCTTCTCTTCCCATCACTCTGGTACACGTTGATCTTGGTCTCATCTTTCCATAGGATGTTTTTTTTTTTTTTTTTTTTATAATTTAAATATTTATTTGTTTTCAAATATAGCAATATAAATATCTCCACCACAAGAAGTAATAAAATACTACATAACAAATTTCTTCTAAAAACACTTATTGCATATCATTTTCTCCCCTTAACCCCCTTCCCTCAACCCCCCTCCCTCCCACCCCTCTTCAGTAAACCCCTGACATCTGTCCGATTCCCATCTTTATTCTTATTCACGGAGTAGCTTCTTTCTTCTTTGCTCTAAATTCCTCCCATTTCTTCCATTTTGTATAATAAACCTCCATCTTATCTGCCTGTATATAGTATAGTTTCTCCATTCTAACAATCTGGTCCACTCTGGCTATCCAGTCATCTACCTTCGGTGCCTCCACTTTACGCCAAAACCTAGGTATCAATCCTTTGGCTGCATTTAAGTAGCACTCTATACCCATATTTTTAAATGTATTCATTGATAATTCTGTAATATGAAAAAGGCATATCTCAGGGTCCAGACCAATCTCAATTTCAGTGATATTCCTAATTTGATTTATAACCTTTCTCCAGTAAACTTGTATTTTTGGGCATCCCCACCACACGTGATATGTTGTGCCCCCCTCACCACATTCTCGCCAACACCCAGGTTGTTTCTCACCACTCATTTTGTGCTCTACCATCGGAGTGATATACCACCTACTTAAGCATTTATAGTTTAACTCCACCTCCCGCATGCTAACATTTCCATGTACCATTCTATATATTTTTCTTTGTGTATGTTTCCTCCCACTCCACCCCCAAATCCCTTTCCCATTTTTCTATATATCTTAATTTTACCTTACTATCTAAATCAGTGAGAATTTTGTATGTTTTAGCAGTGCTGTGTTTCCCATCACCTCGAACTTCAAAAAATTTCTCAAATAAATTCCAATCTCTTCTAATTCTAAGGGGCTTCGTCAATTTCCCCACAAATTTGTTTTAATTTATTATACCTCCATACATCTATTTTAGTGAAAATCCCTCCCTCTTCTCTTTTCAAATCCTCTAGTGTTCTTAAGTTTACCCCCTCCATTACGTCTCTCAACTGAGCATCCTCTTTCTTAATCCATTTACCCGTAATTTCCTCTTTACCTGGGGGGAAAAACTCTGAATTTCTCAATGGCATTAACAGCGAGTTAAAATCCCAATTCCTCTGTTTGTGCAATCTATCCCATTCTTTCAAAACGATCCTGGTGTATGAACTTGTGCTCTCAGCTAATTCTCTAAACTGTGTTGACACCCAAACAATCCCACTCAAATCTTTCCCACTAAGTGTATTTTCTATTGTAACCCAATTTTTACTCTTTGTATTATGTTTCCAGTCAAAAATTCTTGATAGGATCACTGCTCTATAATATCTTTTGAGATCCGGCATTCCCACTCCACCCTTTTCTTTATTTCTACTTAGCACTTCATATGATACTCTAGGTTTTTTATTTTTCCATATATATCTTGTTACCATTTGCTTAATTGCTCTAAAGTATGTCCCTGGGAGTTTAATGGGAATCATTTGGAGTTTATACAAAACCTTAGGGAGAATTACCATTTTTATTAAGTTAATACGACCTAACCACGAAGGATTTCCTCCTCCGATTCTCTTCAATTCCTCCCTAATCTCATTTAACAATGGTATATAATTTGCTTTATAAAGATTTTTCTGTGAAGAAGTAAGTTTCACTCCCAAATATTTTATTTCTCTATCTTTCCATATAAAGGGGAACTCTCTCTGTATCATTTCTTTTTCGCTCTTTGGAAGGTTTATATTTAATATCTCTGTTTTACTCGGATTAATTTTTAGGTTTGCCAATTCCCCATATTCCTTCAATGTTTTCATTAGGTTAGGAAGCGTTATCCTGGGGTTACTAATATAGAACAGTAGGTCATCCGCAAATGCGGCAACCTTGTGCTCTATTTTTCCTACGTTAATTCCCTTTATATCTATATTTTTCCTGATTGTTAATAGCAAGGGTTCCAATGACAAAACAAACAACAATGGGGATAATGGGCAACCCTGTCTAGTTCCGTTTGTCATTAAAAAAGACTCTGATCTCTCTCCATTTACCATTATCATCGCGGACGGTCCTTCATACAGTCTTCCAATCCATCTCCTCATCCTGTTACCCAGTCCCAAAGCCTCTAGCGTATCCATCATGAAGCTCCAATTAACCCTGTCAAACGCCTTCTCCGCATCTATCGAGAGCAACAGTACTGGATTTTTTCCCGTTCGACTTTTCTGTATAAGCATAAGGGATCTCAACCCATTATCTCGACCCTCCCTTCCTCTGACAAAGCCCACCTGATCCCCATGTATCCAATCTGGCATCAGATCCCTCAACCTATTCGCTAAAACCTTTGCATACAACTTCGTATCTGTGTTCAGCAATGATATCGGTCTATAACTTGAGCACTGGGAAATATCTTTACCTTCCTTATGTATCAAAACCACCTGGGCCTGTAGGGATTCCTGTCTCATCTCCATCTCTCCTCCCAATGCATCCATATATCTCTTTAATTTAGGTAGTAGTAAGTCACTATATTTTTTATAATACCTCACGGTATACCCATCTGGGCCCGGACTTTTCCCCGACTTAAAGCTTTTTAATGCTGTTTTTAGTTCTTCCTGTGAGATTTCAGATTCTAGGGAGTTTAATAATTCTTCGCTTACTTTTGGTAATCCTGCTTTTCTTAGATATTCTCTTCTTTTCTCCTCATTTACCTTTTTGATCTTATTTGTAGGGTCATTGGGGGCAATATTATATAGTTTACTATAGTAATCTTTAAAAACTTTTGCAATTTCTTTAGTTGAGTGGACTAATTCTCCCTTGAGATTTTTTATTTTATCTATATAATTTCTATTTTTTTTCTTCCTCAAAGTTCTCATCAAATATTTTCCCGGTCTATCTCCCCATCTATATCTTTCTCCCGTGATTTTATGAAAAATTCTCGTTTTTTCTTCCTCCAATACTTTCTCTAATTCTTCCCTCTTTTTTTTTTTTCATTTTTTCTTCTATCTCTTTCATTATATTACTTTTATGTAGGAGTTCCAACTCAGCTATTTCTTTTAAAAGCTCACTAATCCTTTCTCTCCTTTCCCTTTTTTTCTTTGCCCCAATCGCAATTAGGATTCCTCTGATGTATACTTTGTGCGCCTCCCACACTGTAGCCCTTGACACATCTCCCGTTTCATTTTCCTCAAAAAATCTCCCCATCTCTTCCCTAATATTTCATTCAGTATCTTGATCCATAAGAAGTGCCTCGTTCAGCCTCCATGTCAGTCCTCCCGACGACCTCCCTCCCCATCTTAATCTTAATGCAACGGGGGCATGATCCGAGAGGGTCATTACTTCTATCTTAACACTAGACAAATCTTCGATGAGACGATGATCTATCAATATATAATCTAATCTGGAGTATGTTTTATGAGTGTTAGAATAAAAGGTATAGTCTCTGTTTCTGTTATTTACTATTCTCCAGCTATCCACCAATTGACTCTCTCTCATCACCTTCTTCAATATTCTCATCGACTTGTTTCCCTCTCTCGGCACTGTAGAAGTTGTGTCTATTTGCGGGTCTATACATAGGTTGAAGTCTCCGGCCA